AACGGTACGGTGAAAGTAAGTTAGTTACAAAAAAGTATATATAAAACGTTCCAGTATTAAGTAACATGTGAAGGCAACTGTATGATAATATAGTGAAAGGAATATTGTAACATTTTTTCCCGTTGGCATAGGATTTCAAGTGGGCGACTATTTTGCGTACATCTTACACCTCAGTGAAAGACATTAGTCGGAACATTACCGTGATTTATACGATACCCACATATAAATCTACGAGAATCTGGAATGGAACACACCCCCTCGATTTTTTCGTTCCTTCCTCTGTAATGAATGAATCTTTTAGACTAGTCTAAATAGATATTTAGGTTACGAAATTTAAAATCGCTAAAGAATACAGACAGAAACATAAACAGAAGATTGGAAATAAATATGGAAATTTACTTTCTAGTCCCACTAACTATTATCTCATAAAGTTTATAATATTCCTACATATCTGAACTCAGTTAACTCGGTACTAAATTATTAGCTTGATGGTAAGGACAATTGTATGATACCAAAGTTACTATCGGTAATGAACGACGTAGTTGACAATATGGGCAACATGTAGAAGCAAGAATGGATGTTAATAAAGAGTAATCAACTATTGTATATGCGTATCTCGTATTTTGAAAGGATATAAATCCCTTTTAGATTTGATAGTCGCAGAACTCCATTGAGCACAAAATTTGTAAGCAAACGGCAAACAGGTGAACCACGAAGTGACACCTAATGTTGTATTCAAATCATTCCGTCACTGGATTTCGACCTCGGCCCAATCAAATTACTAAAATTTCAATGTTTTATTAAGTTAAACTTTACCGCAGCAGGCCTAAGTGAATTTATTTGTACTTAGTTATCGGGTCTTTGGAGTAATTTCAGTAACGTTTCGTTGAGTTGAATAATTAAATTTGTCAGGCGGTTGACACGATGTCGGATTTTATTCTACAATTTTCGGCGGCATCACGCGCTTTGCTTCCTTTCTCGCCCCCTCACCATTGTGATCGTCATTCGCCAATTTGAATTATTTATTGTTTGATTTCACACCTTTAGATTATCTGAATTGTTTCGGATTTTCATTTCTATTTGTGTAATAGAGTTAAATTGTTAAATTACAAAACCATTGTGAATCAAATTGTTGACATAAAACTTTGATATTGCGTTCATTTCGTTTTGAAATGTAAATGTTCTCTCAAACGTGATCACTATTCAGTTAACATATTATTTTAGGTAAGTTAGGTAATTTCATATAGTTTTCGTTATTTTTGAGGCGTAATTTAATCTTTCGACCCAAGCGTGTAGCTGTAATTGCGTCACAGTTTATGAATACAGTTAGGTAAAAATTATATCGTATCCTGTTTGTGGGCGCATTCAAATGCATTTTGGACGTCCAGCTTGCGTGCAGCGTGCAACGTGCACTACGTATGCCATCTCGTCTGAATTATTCATCTCCCATTCGCCCTGTCCATTGCTTCTGCCACATCCACATCTATGTAAAGCAATAGAAAAATTCAGTGTTGAAGGTTGGTATGTATTGTATATGGTCTAGTCAGCCCTAACTTAGGGTGAGCTTCGAAGCACTTATTGGGGACGTATGTATAGTGAAGTGATGACGATGATTCTATTATTTGTAGCTTTACACTGATATAATACTCAAACATTATCAATGTTAATATTTTTTGCGCTAACTTTTAGTCACATAAAATAGTTTTTATTTTTAAATAAATATAAAGCAATCATTCAATTCCCACCGTTAAATGGAAACAAACCGAGGATCATAAAGAGAGGAAATTACAAGACATTCGGATTGCGTAACGCGCCCGTGGAAATTCGACAAAATTTAAGTCGTTGGAGCATTAAAGGGGACGGCGGTATAGACGGTTAATTCACCCCATAAGGGTCGCTCTGGCGCCACCAATCCTACCGTACACAAATTTCTAAGTACGACGTCTTGCCGCGTTTTTCGCTCTTCATCTGAACGCCAACTACAACTTTTATAAAATGTTACTTCGTTCTAACTCTTGCTATTAAAGAATGCATTTGACTTTTAGTATTGTCAGTTCGACAGTCAATTTTATTGCTAGATAATTTCTAATTAATAGATGTTGTAGAAAAATATAAGATAAAATTATTGGGAAAGTGCAACTCTTTTAAGATTAATAATAATGAATAGTATTATTAAATAACATTACTATAAGTGTCTTTTAAAAAATAATGTAAATAAAATAAAAAAAAAGTAATGAGTGAGTCTTTAATCTTTTTAATATACATTATAGATATGGAGACCAGTTTTAACACTAATAAATATGAGAAATATAAGCTGGAATATTAAACTGTCAAGAATAACGGTCCTGTCACAAAATGTAGATTGTAAGAAAGTAGCAGGTAAATTACGCGAGCTTTTCTGCGTCACCACCACCAGTCACCACAACTTTTGATTATGTTTTACGTGAGTCGGCAATTTATCATTTTTTGTCAATATATAACAAATCACATTAATCCCTTATATTATACTTTTTACAATATAGTTGTCAACCGTAACTCCATCCGCGTGGAATTATATAAAAAAAACTTAATTATTAGACTATGTAAACTTCAAGACTATGTTCTACATCTATGCAAAATTTCAGCGAAATCCACTAAGTCGTTCTGGAGATACCTTCTAACAAACATCCATCCAACTATCCAAAAATAAGATAAAATAGATAAAAAATACTGTTTTACTTTTTTATTTTTGTCTTTTAACATAGTTTCGAGGTTTTTTTTTATATCATAAGGTGGTAAACGAGCAAATCGACCACCTGAAGTCGCTAAAATAGCGAACTGACTGTTACCCATAGACATAAGCAATTGCATATGCGATGCCATAAAACCATTTAAAATTCGAGTATCAAAAATCGAACTATTGTCAGTTTCGAACCATTAACTTTCAAAATAAAAACCTCGTACAGTCATTAACTGATACATTAATGTAACTTAGCAATTCCAGTGCTCTCCACAGTTAATTGCATTCTTGGCAATAATTCGGAGTCGTTAGTTTAGTAATGAAGAAAGCCGTGTTGAGGTCTGGCGACAGATCCATCAGGATGTCGACGGTACATTCGTCGTAGCGATTTCACGCTTGATATATCCAGCAACTTGACTACATTTGGTTAATTTATCTTCATACGCTGATACATCTTTATATATATAATTCTTCTGTGAGTATGTATGTCACTGAACTTCTCTCAAACGACTGGACCGATTTTGATGAAATTTTTTGTGTGTTCAAGGGGATCTGGGAATGGTTTAGATTCACAATTTTCATCAAATATTAACTTCATATTAATTTATTCAAATTAAAGACGTGTTGACAGGACACCGTGTGTCGGGTCCGCTAGTATGCTATACAACGCGAACTAATTTACTGTTTTTGCATAAATTATTTTATTTTATAATTTTGATGCTCATAATTATTTTACAATGAATGAATAAACGAAATAAACAACCAGTCGTAGACTTAAACAATTAAAGATGTATGTCACATAGTATTCAGAAATTTTAGTGCCTAAAAATTAAATAATATCTAAAAACTTAATAGATGTTTACGCGGTTACGCATCTTAAACACAAAAATATAATGAAAAGAGACGTTTATTAAAATATGAATTTAAATGAGCATACACTCATTATAATAATGTATTATTTTAAAACGAACAAAACCAAGACAATTTTTAAAAGTAGCAGTCGACGAATCTTAAAATTTCCATTGGAAAAGAGGACATTGAATAAATAATTTGATGATGATAAGTCGCATCAGGTCGCCACGCTATTGACGCAACGTTAAATTTTACAAGATTCACGCGACGCTCTATATTTTTTGGTCTTGATTTATGTAAAGCTGAATAGAGCTATTCATAATTTATGCATCTCAATTCTTACCCAAGTATCAGATAGACTTATCAAGAGTTTCTGTTTTACAGTACACTATTTCTTTCGACAATTTTGACAGAAAAGACTTGTCCGAAGTCAGGTGATGGAGATGTTACTTCAATATGATAAATACGAAAGTTAAGATTGATGGATGTTTGTTAGAAGGTATCTCCGGAACAGCTTGGCATACATGTAGAACATAATCTGGAAGAACACATAGGCTATTTATTATTTTTTTTTAATTCCGCGCGGACGTAGTCGTAGGCGACGGCTATTGATATTATAAATGCAAAAGTTTAGACGGATGGATGGATGTTTGCTTGAAGGTAACTCCGAAACGGATCAATGGATCTTGATGAAATTTGGCACCAATGAAGAACATAGTCTGGAAGAACACACAGGCTACTTAATAAGTTTTTTTTCAATTCCGCGCGGACGTAGTTCGGGGCAACAGCTAGTTTAGAATACATATATTGAAGTGTAATTTCTCAGAGGGCGCGGTGAAATTATTTATGGAGTCTTTTATTGCTTAACTTCATTCGTTGCTGTGGTTGCTTTTATTCCTTCGACGGGAAAAAGTTGCCAGGTTTTATTGCCGGTGTGAGATAGGACACGTTATTGCACTAACTTTTAACGGTGGCCGGAATTAAAATAGATTATTTTTTTGCGGTCACTAAAGACTGGATATGACTGAGAATAGACTTTTTGTTTACCACTACATTATTTTTAACTGCTTTCAATTCATTTGACAATCACATAAATAAATTATGGTAAAATAATGAATAAAACATTAAATTAAAATTAAATTTATATTTTTCTTCAACGTCTGTCGACAAAAAAAAAACTTAAAATGCAATTACAATTAATTCACTGTTCGTTTGCGTATTTTTTTTATTTAATTTATTTGTAAGTATAGTTTCCTGGCTGCTTTGTTTCAACACTTTAAAATTATTATCAAAAAGACTTAGTTCTTTTTATAATAATGAAATCGAAAATGTTTCTTATATGTATATCACTTGACACTATATCCAACGAGTAAATAAGCAATTGAATTGATAACTTTTCACTTATTAATTACATTTTTCTTTGTTACAGAACTCAATACGACACAACTTGTCATTACACAATCGGTTCATGAGGGTCCAGAACGAAGGTACAGGTAAATCGTCGTGGTGGATGATTAATCCAGACGCAAAGCCGGGCAAATCGGTCAGAAGACGAGCAGCGTCCATGGAAACGTCAAAGTTTGAAAAACGAAGAGGTCGAGTCAAAAAGAAGGTATTATTATTTTCTGGTCTTTGTTAAATGAATTTTACTTTACATATATGGTAGTAATATAACTAAATAGGATTAAAAATAGTATTGTACTAAAAAGTTACTGTAAAATAAACGTTAGTAGAACATTATAGCTAGTTGAATTTAAAAAGAAAATACTAAAAAGGCGGTTTTGAGATTATCTCATTGTAATAGGTTTGAGCTACATTCCTAACCTTTATCACATCTTTGGGTTCTAGTTACACGCAAGAGCTTGTTTTATTCCATTAACAAAGTATGTTAGAGTTCAATTTATAATGGTTATATGACATTAACAGACCGAAGCTCTAAGGAACGGTGCAACCGCAGACGCAACTCCCAGCCCCAGCAGCTCCTTGTCGGAGAGTCTCGACATGTATCCAGAATCACCTTTACCCAGGTCAATATTAGTTTCCTTTCCATAGTCATAAATAGTTACGATGATGTATAGCTTATAGAAATTTTAGACAATTAGCTATTAGTATATTTAGTTAATTAAGAACTTAGAACTAGATAATAAAAAGAAATGTATGAAATTAATTAGGATTTGATGTATACAATTTACAAATTTCAACTTTAAAGTCTAAAAATATCGTAAACTCTATACAATAAATAAATTGTCAGCATTTGTATTTCTAAGCGATATAAACCACTATGTTATCGTCACAATTCTTTTCTCATCGTTTCAAAAAAGCTACTCCAGTTTTTTTTTAAATTTTAGACACAGTTTAGCACGAAACCCCAAAATTTATAATAAAACTATCGGCATAAAACTACGTTGACCAAAGCAATAAAATTGAATTACGACAACCGTGTTACTTTACGATAAAAGGTTTTAAATCATTCACAACCATTAGATGATGAGTTATACGGATGCTGAATCTCGTCATTTGGGTTATATTTAACATTTTTATTGCCGAATATCTGTCGAGTTTGCGAGCTTCATAACCATTTATTTTGGTTAGTTTTTATCCAGTAGGAAATCGACTTATAGGGGATTTCTTATGATATTATATTTTGTCACAGTTTGCTACAATAAAAATATTTCTATGCTGACCATTTAACCCGTTACAGTCGCGTCATTTGGCATTCCGTGTTTGTACGTTAGTGGGGCTCGATAGGGCATTACATTTGCATGCTTACATTACAATGCGACAATAGTAGCGATGCTAGATGATCTAGACACGTTTTATTTGAGCTATTGATTATGATTATTTGCCGTATAAGTATAGTTGAATTGTGACTGAAGCTAGTTTAATCATTTCAGTCTCAAGACGCAATAGATTATTACGCTACAGATGTATACGAAAATATTGGTTTACTGATCCTCAAATATACATTTATAATGTTTAGCACTTCACCGTTTTTAAATGCATTATAGCATATTTGAAATCAAAATACTTATCAAACCAAAATACCGATATATTCGTATTTATTTCTAGTTTATATAATTTCATTATTTGACGCTTGTTCGCTTTGGCGTAGCAGTGGTTTTCAGTTGTCACCGGAGTACCGACAGAGGGCGTCGTCGAACGCGTCGTCCTGCGGCCGGCAGTCACCCCGGCCCTCGCTACAACCTTCAGAACCGGACTGGGTCACAGATTCCTACAACCCAGCAGATCTGTGCTCTAGCGACTTCACGGCCGGTGATTTCGCATCGACCAGTGATTTCCCGCAAATCGACTACGCACAAGAAGAACAGTTGGCTGGTTCCCTAGCTGACTCTATGAAACTACAAGGCGCCGACCCATTCCTAAATACGTAAGATTTTAGATTAGTACGCTTGCTTATTTAGTACCAACTGTAACTGAAGCTATTTACTTTTATATCATTAATCGTTGGTTTCTGAGACCAAAAATCTCTCTATAATAAACATCATCATCCCTTTCATTATCTGTCACAAAACAGAGATAACAATATCTGTTATGCAGGATTTTTGGTCTCAGAAACCAACTATTAGTCATGCTACGATGCAATTCAACGTATATGTATGCCACGCTAGAAGGCTTCGCTTATTTACAATTGTTATTAATTAAATTAATGTTAATTCTATTGTATACTAATAAGCGTTTAAATTATTGTAAAAGTTATTGTTAATATTCATGCCTAACTTGTGTTACCAATTACAAGAATCAATTGAACTGCTTTTAAAAATCATACCTGTATGAAACCAAATTTTGGTCCGCTGATTATTACTATGATCCCTTAAAAAAATTCCATAGATATAAATTAAACGAAGTTCACGTAATAAAAAACTGAGTAAAATAATAAGGAAATAGGAAGAAAAAAATGAAAATAAAAATATAAATTTTATATCGTCGAGTATACAAAAATGGACGATGTTGAGGAAATGTTTGTCTTTATATTCATTGGATCAATGTAACATATGGATTTACGTAAGTGCTCGTCAACTAAGACTGACATTAAGCACAGTATAATGGTGCCAACTAAGAATTTAATGTTTTCCTTACAAATTGCATATGTAATGGTAAAATGTGTATTTAGATACGTGCCAACTACGTCGTCTTCGGGCAGCGGCTACCGGTACTCGTTCGCGTGCCCGCGTCACCCACACGGCGCGTGCGGCTGCTCGCTGTACCACCCCGCGCACCCCGCACACCCGCACCAGCACGCCCTTGACCACTTCGTGCGACCCCCGCCGCCAGCCGACCCCGCGGACATTATGCACGCAGGTGAGACTTGTACGCAGCTCTACGTTCACTGGTCGATTATGAAGAGTATTAAACCACAAGCCTCATACCTTGTAGTGCTATCTATTCGAGATAAATTATAACTTCTATATTCTATTGCTTTAATGCATAAACATATCCCTCATACAAAAATCCCACTCAATCTCTTTCGAGACGTACTGGATTACTTGGATCATTGCAGTTTATCATATGGTTTAATATTTGTTGTAGAGAACACAAGCCGTATGGTGACGACGGATCCAGCGTTGATGAATGGTGGTATGATGGTACAAACTGGTGCGCTTGGCCCGCCGGGTCTGGGGCCCACCACTGTAATGGGCCAGATCATGGGCGCGCTTAACGCCGGTTTGTCGGAGGACCTCAACATCGAAGCGTTGGAGCACGAATTCGACTGTAACGTCGATGAGGTAATACGAGGATTTGATCTCATGTCTTTTGTCATTGTTTTTGATAGATACAAAAAACTACAATTGCCATAATTGTGAAGAAAACTTTTATAAATTTCTATCGATGTTTATGTGCATCCATTCGTTTTGCGACAATATACTATTGAGTAAATTGTGATGAAATTTTGTTAAGATTATGTAATGTTTACAAATAACAAAGTGTTCTCTAACCCTTTTACTTTGCAGGTCATAAAACACGAACTAAGTATGGAGGGAACGTTGGACTTTAACTTCCCGCAGCCGCACAGCGCGATGGCTGCAGAGGCCGAGAGCCAGTTCCAGGCGCCCGCGCCGCCTGTGCCCACCACGCTGTCCGGCGGCGGGGCCCCACGAACCCCATACTCCGTCGCCCCCTCCTGGGTCCATTGAGCGCGAAACTAAAGGCCCCGACACACTACACCCATTCGTAGATCGGTCGACGTTCGGATAATCTCGATTCGGGTTTAGGTTTTATCCTTGTTGTAAATAAGACGCGAACAGATCATGTTTAAGGTCCCTTTTTGTTACTTTAGCGTATTTAGTCGAGATTTTTTTTTCATTGTTACGTTAACTAATGTTAAAATTTTATTTAGTGTTATCGCTAAGTGATGTTACCGATCGTTGTTGATGTGTCAATTGTGTTAGGTTAGGATTTAGTGTTAAGCTAGGTGGAAGCTTGTGATATAGTTAGGCTTGTTGCTTGGAGCGAGGCGGGGCGGGGGCGAGACGGGCACCACTTACTGCGGGCGGGCGCTACACCTGAAGAGTAAGGTAAAGTATTATTTGCTTTTTTGTTTTAGAATAATTTTTGTCATGTTTTAAAGTGATGACGATTACATAATAACGATAATTACATAACAAATAATAATCTCAAAATACAACAAATACTATAATCGGTTTATATCAAAGATTTAACATCAAATACAATTTTCAAACGCAACATTCTAGACGTTATCTCAACGGAAATGTAGAAAAATAACTTAGTAAACTTAAAAGCGACGAACAAATTTTCCAGACGGCGAAATATTAGCGAACATTTAACAATACAATAGCAATAAATCCGGCGTGTATCTGCGATAATCTGGCCCAAAGTTTGCGAGTCGAGTGTCCAATAAGTTGTTCGGTTAGTATCGGTTGACTACAGCGTGGACGCTGCGATTCTGTATTGTTTCGTGTAAACATTCCTAAACCGCAATTTGACCTCATTGCGGCTTGATATAAAATTTAACAAAGTTTAATTCTGCATAAATTTTTTGATAAGATTCTTAACCTTTATCGTTTTTAAGATACGCTTGTGTTTTGTTAAGCTTAAAATCGGCATACAGTCGCAATATTTTTACTGATAATATAGTCCATTTTCGTAAGCTTATACCTAGAAAACTAATATCATCAAAGGATACGCAACAAAAAAATCTTTTCGGTCTTCAGGCATACGCATTAAGTTTTACGAGGGCGCGTATCACAAGGAGCTGAGTCGTCACTCGTGTTTACGTTTCATTGTGCGCGGATTATGACACGTGACGTCGTCTTTGTATCAAACAATGCTGGAAGAAAAAAAAACCTAGCGAAATTGCCACTGAAACACGACGCACGCGGATTTATGAGCCGGTCAATGACGGCGCAATCTACACAAGCCTGAATATATAAAACATGCCTCAGGATACGAGAAACTCTTGGAAATATATCCACATTCTTACCTCGATTTTGTTACTTAATGATAAAGGTCGTAACACACTCAACACACTGGTTTCATATCTGTTACTAGGCTCGTTGCTATTTTGACCAATCATTGTAGGGATTAAACTGTTAAATGTAAATATCAACATATATGAGAGTGTTTATCGATGTCAAAAGTTCCCTTGTAGTTTTTTGAATAATAAAGGTTTTAGCCCATGTATAATTTATTAAGATTTAATGTCGATCCACTCCAGTCTGTCGTAACCTTTATATCTGAACTAGACATTTGTTTGCAAATTATATTGGCATATGAATAAAATATATGAAGCCGACAATGTATTATTCTAGAAGTTTTATGATGCATCTATTATAAGAGAGCCTCATAAGAGTTATGTCTTTGGTACATGATGAATATATTAATTTATTCATTGGTTCTATTTCACGTGGCATCATATTAACAAAGACTTTATTTCTAGAGAATTGTAGAATTTTAATCTTTGCTATGCATTGCGTTACTAATTACTATTTTGACATTGACTCTTAATCAAAGAATTGAAATTTCATAATTTTAATTATGAATTACCTCCGTCCTCATCATACGCTCTGTTGAATTAATCTGTAACACTATACTGGTCGCAGTTTTCTTGCAAGATATTAACTCTTATCATCATCATCAGCCTATATTCGTCCACTGCTGGACATAGGCCTCTCCCATGGCACGCCACTGAGCACAATCCTCGGCCACTCTCATCCAGCTCTTGCCAGCTGCCCTGCGGAGATCATCGCTGCACCGTGTCTGAGAACGTCCTTCGCTACGTTTGCCGACCCATGGTCTCCACTCAAGAACTCGTCTACTCCAACTGTTATCAGTTCTTCGGGTTATATGGCCGGCCCATTGCCACTTCAGCGTGATAATTAATTCTTATGCGGGTCCCAAATTAAATTCCCAGACTATGGGTCAACACGTTGACGTCAATGTTTTCCACTTCAGTTCCTTTTGACACCTATAATAAAAAATAGTAAACGAAATCATTCAACCAAAATGTCAAATAAAAGTGTAATATTAAGTTTGTGGAATAGGCCGAAATTCGGTCTGGAATCCAAGAGCCGTTGAGAGATCTTAAAAAGGCTTTATTAGTTGTTTAGTTCTTCAATTATACCGTAAGTTTACACGGCATGAACATTCTTATAAATACGTATCATTTGACAACATGTCGTTTCCCTCATTTACCTTGAATAAACTTTTTAAAATTGCACGGTACAGATAACATTGCTTTACAGTTTTAAAAGTAATGTGTTATTTCAGTTGGCTTGAAATTACAGTTATTTAGACCTCAGATAGAGACCAAAATATGCGAAAGGAATTTACCACTTGTATTTGCCTTTATTCTGAATTATAACCATACTAGCTGTCGCCCGCGACTTCGTCCGCGGGGGATTAAAAATAAAACTTAATTAGTAGCATATGTGTTCTTCCAGACTATGTTCTATATCTATGCCAAATTTCAGAACCATGAAGCCATTTGGATACCTTCTAACAAACGTCCATCCATCCATCCATCCATTTAAACATTCGCATTTATAATATAAGTTCGATATGAATTATAAATGCCACCGTGCCTATTTTTATCGACTGTCTCGCCTGTATTCGTATTTATATTAACAATCGTTTATAAAGCACAATTTTACTTATATTTAGGTTGAAGTCATGTTATAAAGGCTATGTTGACTCTAAGTTGAGTTCAAACTTATCAGACAATATTAAAATGTAATTACCTATATTTGTGGTGACTTAACACGGTGACCGGTCAAAACATTTCCTAATACGTCCAATTAAAACGTACATATAACGAACAAATTCATTTATCAGGGAATAATAAAATCACTCCGCGTTGTATAGACGACATGCGTCATTCGGTCGGTTGTGAATAATAAATTTATAATTAGATTGGGATTGAACCTCGCCACTCGTGATTCTATTACACCGATGAATGCCCCTATTTGTGCGCTAATGAGGGAGACCGCAGCCGGTAATTAATCATATCGTTTTAACAAACGTTCCGTCGCACCGTCTAGCGATCTTTAAATAATGGAATATCACGAAAAAATCCGCGGGATAACGCTAGATTAAACACCGGTCCGTTAATGACTTGTTTTTAAGGGTTAAAAGAATGAATACCGTCTTTAGCAGACGGTGTGACGACGGACTTTTCTTGGTATTTCTTTTTTTATTAATTCTTGCACATCGCTCGGTCAGAAGTTAATGGGGGGAAAGATTCGCTTTTTAAAAATCGAAGCACGACCTCGACGTTCATTTAGCAAGCAATTACGATACGATTTAAAAAGTCGATAAAAATACGATTATCGATAAAAGCATCAGTGCACTTTTTAAAGGATTTTTCTTTTGATATAAATCCTATTCTAGTAATAGTGCATCGTAGAATTTTCATAATAAGTGTGCATCCATTAGTGTTAGTGTTCTTCGGATATTATTGTCATACTTCGTGAGTTGCATGCATACTTGCAAAAATTTTCGAAAAATTTTGCTTTATCATTTTTCTGGTAAATAATTTTACTGCAAATAAAACTTTAAGAAATCTGTAGAGTGGTGGCATTGTAAGATCAACCAGCATTTCGTCACATTAATAAGTTCACCCTCAAGCCGACGCACAAATTGGCAAGCTCATCGTGTATTCGGGTCGGCCGCCCTTGTAATTAGGTGCCGGGGCCACCTTTACACACGATTTCTTAGCACTTGTTAAAAGTTTTCAATTGCGTTACGGCGGACCCTTACGAGAAATTTATTCATTATATTCTACCCTCCCCCCCGACACCCCGCAACTTAATAAAACGCTCCTTTGCTCTTTTTTCTATTTCCATCCCCCTACTGTCCCCTGGAAAGTAAGTATTTTAAATATTTGCCGCATGGCCTCTCAAATGAATGATGAATTATACATAATTTTGAATTATTTTTGCGCCGTTATCAGATTCTCTTTTTGTGTTATATTTTTTTTTCGTATCTCATTTATTATCGTTGAGATCAAACGACCCTTTGGAATAAACTGGTCGTGTATTTCGCGTATTTCTTTTTTAATTTATTTATTAAGAACATTTAAAAGTTGAACATTGAATTAACACAGATTTACGATTATTTCTTTATCTTTTACTCTGAATGTTCTACATTTCGTAGCTCATTGAAAGTCTATCTGATTAGTGCTACAGAATTTTCTGTTCCTTATCTGTGATTGTAATATAATTTCCGATTTCCGAAGAACTGTTTGGAACGATTCCTGCCGCCGAGTTCCGTCATCGGACGACACGATAGACCGCCAGGTTTCATCCACACCACCTGGATGGCTGGCATTCCACAACGGTGCGATTCTCGCGCAACTTCTTGCCTCGCACAGCTGCGTTGTGGAACGGTCTGTCCTCGGCGGTTTTCCAAACCAATACGACTTAGGGACCTTCAAGAAGCGAGCATACAATTTCCTTAAAGGCCGGCAACGCATCTGCGGTTCCTCTGGTGTTGCAGATATCCATGGGTGTCCTTGATCACCTCGGTACTGCCGCGGTTCGTTTGCCCCCTTCTCTTATAAAAAAAATAAAAATTATGAAATTACTCTTATATCTTTTTTTATTATATTTATAAAAGAAAGGAGTTAAGGTTTTAAAGATTATATTCTCATTCAAGGCAGGCGGGTCGGATGGGAGCGGCATACTCAACAACTTGCCCCATTATTGTTTGACAGCGCGCTGCCAACCGATTGGCAACTTAAATTAATGCCAACATGGTTACGCTTGTCAATTTTTCCCTCGCCTTATCTACAGATATTATGCATATTACGGGCAAAAAATCCCTTTTAAACCTTTATAAAGCTAACTTCATCTTCTAATTTACACAAATAGTCTTTAATAATAATAACATTTGTATAATTAAACAAGTGGTCGTGTGTTTAACTATATATTGAATAGCTACTTAGATAATAAATATAAGAAAAATATCGTGCGTTATGGTAGCACACTTATGTCCAACGAATGTCCAATGAACAATTGTTGCCAGCATAGGAAAAAGTTTATAATAATTTAAATGTTGCCAATACAAAAAGAAATTAATACGAATGAAACAAAATAAATAAATAATTAATGTGAATTAATTGAACAACATTTTAATCTTATTTTCATCATCAGCTCACTATACATAAACACTGAGGGGCTCGGAGCTTACCGTAAGTTAGCGATGAATCAACCACGCTGGTCCAGTGCGGTTTAACATTTTCTTAAATACTTATTACTTATCGTTTTGTTCATTTGATGAATTTCTTTTGTTTTACATTTGCATCTCTGCAAAACTTATGTTCTTAAAGGATGAAACTAAGCTAATTTCTTAAGAAACACTAGTCTTAATTAAAGCAAAGCGTTGTAACTGACTAACATTATGGTAGAAATCCAATTATTATGTGTAAAAAATAAATATGCTATTTATATTATCAGCCGCGTACATGGATCAAAGCTCTGTAAATCGAATGGTTTAATTTAGTCGTTGCGGCTTAAACATTCTTCGATGTCGGTCGAAGGCAAATTGGATTACGTGTTAAGCGGAGGAACCACGGCGACGCGACGCTAACGGCTTTACGATGTTATAACACGCCCCTAAATGTACCGCTATTATGCCCTTACATTTTTTTTACAGGAAAGTTTCGTTAAATAATACAATACTTTTGTTGTACTTGTTACATTTTTCCAAACTTCTACTAAGTTATAATACATAATATGTTTTATAGCCATAACGATTTGTTTATTTGTGTATACGTGAATTGCTGTAGATGAAATTGAACATTTAAAGAGATTTGTGTTGATTAAAATAAAAATAAAAATTATTTGTGAAATATTTTACAGTCTCACTAGCTGTCGCCTTCGACACCGTGTAGAAAAAAAAAAACTTAATTGGTTGCCTATGTGTTTTCCAGGCTATATCCTACATCTATGCCAAGTTATAGCGAGATCCATGCAGCCGTTCTGGAGATACCTTCTAACAAACATACATATTCGCACTTAATTGTACTAAGGTTTTTTACGATGCTATTTTGAATAACTTTTGTAAAGAATAAAAAAAAATATGACAGAAGTTCTATTTGCCCAAAGGTGCAACATAACATACCTTTGAAAATTATCACAAATTATTAAATGGAAAACATTATTTTGTGTACGTATTTAGAGGTGACATAGCACATGAGAAAACTAAAGCATATTTTTTCTAGTAAAAAAACATTCGTAAATATGTCTGCAAATATGATAAGACAGCGTAAACAATTTCCAAGTAAATTCAAATCTTGTCGCTTTTACCTGTCGACTTTATGTCTATAATAATGTAACAATTATTTACTAACACATCGTTTTTTTACATCATCCTATAAAGATATCCTTCGGCGTAACTTTATTTCTATATCATAAAGTTTTCCTCCTAAACATGCCAAAAAGATTTTGTTTGCCACCTGAAAATATGTTTGGGGAAGAAAAGTATATTTTCCTGATTCATTTGAATGTTCCATCCCCGCGCATTAACTTCACATCAGATTCTATATAAGAATGGAATAGTAAAGAACGCGTTATGACGAAGGGAACTTTAGAATCACTATTCCTTTTATTTCTCACGATTTTGTTTAGATTTTATATGAAGTATGTAAGATTTTATTGACAACTGAAACATTACATGCCAAGTAACTTAGTAGCGTGGAATATAATCTTTTACTTAAATATTATCTGTATTACCACAAAATATATACGTAGACACTGTTTGGCTAACACTTGTTCTAACCCTTTGAACGCCGCTGAAGGATATTACGATTCCCATACGACAAAATTTCAGATATTTAAACACCAGTAATGGACGACTAGCGATTTAATAACTCCGAGTCTGTTATTTAATTGAATTAATTAAGTTATATAGACTTATTTCGGTATTGAAACAATTTTGTCAGTGCCTTTGGTACCGGACTAGGTTCTGTATTAGGCGCTGATGCTATCCCTTTATCTGTACACTTCAAAGCTTAAAAAAATGTTCTTTCAGTATTGACATTCATACGAAAAGCATAATAAACAATGCAGAACGTAGCGGTGTGCAGGAAGGCGTTGGGCGTGCCCCCAGCCCGCCCGCCCCGTGCAACAGGTGCCGCCCGCCCTTACGCTTACAACGTAACTCTGTCGTCTCACCTCTTTACATAACACGTGCTTGCAGAAACGTCATAATATACGTTTTGATTCAGCATTGTTATATAATGTATATGCATCTCATCGTTGAGTAGATATTATACATTTTTAGTTCGTTTCATCACACAATTTTTTTCTGAAAGTTTAAACGACTCGATGATTATCTAACTTTAAACTGTCATGGTGTTGTTCATAGAATAGAAAGGCAATTATATTGAACCGTAACTTTGTTTGGTACCTATACTGTATCAAACTCTCAGAGGGTTATATGATACATCTAACCTTTATTTAAAAAATCGGTTCATCTAATACCATGCATTATTTTGTATGCAAAAGCGTTAGAAGTTTGAAGGTTCTAATTTAGACACATTGCCCCACTCATTCTTCGCATCTTCGTACGAATCACATTGTTGCATAAAATCTTGATTTTACTCAATTTGAGCGACAGAGTATACAAGATACAAAAAGTAGTTTATAAAATAATAATTAACGCATGTCAACGCGTTAATTATTCGTGTTTTTGAGTGATAGAGTAAAAATTATCATATCCTACAACCGGTTTCTCTACACTCTACAGTGTTGCTTATAATAACTCAAATTACAAATGTACTTATATTTATAAATATACATTATTGTTCTGTCCTCTTTTAAAAAACTGATTATTTTCATTTTCAAAATAGTAAAAGAGAACATTAGTAGGGGACGATTCTAACAACTTACACGGACTCAAAATCACATCTTCGGGTTTCGACTATAGTTACACTTGTACAAAGAGTTGTCTCTGTTTTTTCAAAGAGAATGAAAGGGTTAACGATATTAATACAAGTATTAATGCAGTGTTGTTCTATGGTAAAGCTATGTGAGGAAGAACATTCTAAATATCACCGCCAAAAGAAGTCGTAAGTCGTCGTACCCCAGAGTATGAATAAATTTACACCCCGCCGGAATCACTCGATAACCGACGCCTATGCTTTATAGCCCGTGACATCCGAAACTCGATTTATTGTCACGCCGCTTTCTGAAGCGAGGAAATACAAGAAAACTCGGTGAAAACTTGCGGTACGGGATTTACATCAACGTTTGTATTTTCACTTACGCAACTTTCCTTTTAAAGTTGCGTTGCATTTTAGAGTGTAAAATATTTTAAAGTTGATGCGGATTGATTTTAGTGTTTGCTATTTTTATTACTAACTAAACGAAAGCTTTTAACGGAATTTTAACGAGATATTTTTTAAGTATAAACGCATTTCAAATACAAAATTTGAACGAAATTGGTACTCCCGTTACTAAAAAAAAGAAATTCAAATAGGTCATCAAAATCTTCGAAACATATAAAGCTTTCCCTCATAGGAAAAAAGTCTGACCCCATCTGAATGTATGAATCATAAATAGCTAAATAAAACAAAGAACATTCCAAACCACTCACTATCCACTTGATTAATTAATTGGTAAATAGTTTCAGTTATAAAACAAAGTTTTGTAGCTATCTTTTATAGTCCAAGTTTGTTCAATTCTACGCAAGAAAGTCTTATAAACGTAGTTCCTATTTAAGCATGTTTTATGTGGAACTTATTTGGGGAAAGGATGCCAATTATCTACGTCACATATTAAGAACAGCGCACTTTATTCGGAGCAATGAGTCGCAGAGAAAGTCCGTTACATTGCTGAATATGCGACAGATTTATCGTGGTTACATAGTGTTGTACCTATCTGAAATGTTCTATCGATATTTTTAATAAATTAATATTGTTAATTTCAAAATGTTATACTTCATAGAAATAAACTAATTATTTGCCGAAAGAGATGCAATAAATTAAATTTTTTGTTTGCGTTTTTCAATGTATTTGAGTGAATGAAACTTAATTGTTTTTATAACATCTTAAAAGATCATATAACTGCCTTGACTAATATGTATAAAAAATGCAATAATGAATTCTTAAATTACAGGTCTTTAATTTCCTTTTAACTCTTTTTGTTTTGAAAACGTCGAAAGGTTTTACAGACTTGTATATTACATATTTATTGAAACACTTTGTGGATACACAATCTAAATAACCGAACTTCCCTATTCCCTTAATTGGTAGTTTCATCCAATGTAATAAAAGAAATTGTGTTAAATCGATACACTGAAGTGGCAACACTGTCCGGGGTCGTCACCTGCGGGGTTGCGGGGCGGCGAGGGGGGTGCAGCGCGCGGGGCCGCAGACTTGGCGTCGCACTGTCGGGCAGGTTACGATTTACACTCCACCGACTCAGCAGAAAGTCCGCCCCGACGAGAAACGCTGATAATCCACATCCATAGTCGCCGCGAGAATTACATCGAGATTACTTCGACTTTGATACTACTGTAACTGTTTTATTGCCTCATACGATTTAATTACGATTTGAAATCATTGATTACTAATGAAGTTTAAATGGTCAAATCATAAATTTAATTAAGTGTTGCCATAAAAATCTTTATAAACTCACTGAGTGGCGGTTGTCGGTTATGCGGACGTTTACATAATGAATTATATACAGATTTACGTATATGTTTTATTTATTGAACTTGACGATTAACATTCCATGTTGCGTTCTGTGATGTAAGCATTTTATAGAGTGATGAAGTACAAGTTTTCTGCTCCCGTCCTATTCCACCTTCATTGAATACTAAAAAAAAATCAATTAATAATTACAAACTCTCTTGACATGAAATGTCCTTATTCTTCGCTAAATCTGTACGAAATAGTACTAGAAAATATTTTTTTTTTAGATATTTAAGTATAAAGTAAATTTAATATTCGTACTAATAACTTGTTATTTTTGTTTCAGGTCGCTAATACACAATTCGGAGAATATCGGGAAGTTTAACTCCGTTATGAATACGGTTGTGATAAATAACTACAGTCTTACCCGGTCGTCAAGGTGGACCTCAAATATGGACAAACATCAGACTAAAAGTGGTTAAAGTGGAGTGAAAAACAGTAGAATGACGTTGAGTGAACGATACTGTTTCTTGAACTAAGAATTAAATGTTTAGTTAAAAAAAATTGACCTCGCGTACTTTATTTGTTCGGTTTTAGAAACTAAGATCTTACCCCGGTGTGTGTTGAGAGAATGGGTTCTACAGTAAACCTTAACTAAACGCAGTATGGTTGAAATTTCAATGGTGCACGTAATTCTGTATTTGGTATTTAGAGACCCATCTTTCAATACGCCGGGCTATAGCACTTATTTGTATTTTTGGTATTTTAAAATTGGACTGATTTGCATCATTCATTGTTACTGGCAATATATAGTTCTTTTTTTAAACTGTTGTTACATTTTTTTTTTGTTATCTATCAAAATAATTCTGTCACTATACTTATCCGTGTATTTTTATAATCTGTGTGATTGTAATGACAGATAAAAATTGCATATTTTTGTAAATTATGTAACAAAATTATTTGGCTATACAAGAATTACCATATATTCTAATTAAAATAGCAATTGCACATTCTAAAAAAGTAATGCAACATATTAAAAATAACAAAACAATTCGATAAAAAAATAAATGTTTTTGCAATTTGCAACCAGACTGAATAAAATCTAAATTTTCACATACGTTAACACTAATGCATTCAAAATGTCATACGTGTGCCTAATAGGTTAAAAAAACTGTAAATATCAAAGTTTCTATTTACAATGGCGGATTATAAAAAAACAAGGCGTTCTTAAGTTGACGCACAAATTCCATTTTAGTCAGATCTCTAGTCCAAAATGTTAATTTTCTTGATTAAGCTACTCCTCATTTGAGCTCAGATTATAGCAAAAAAAAATACGTTCTGTGAATTACCTCAGTGGACTGTATGTGATAGATTTAGCCAATAAGTGTTCAATTTAGTACGTTTTACATATTAAGTCAATTCTTGTAATGTTTGGCGTCCATATGATGTAGAAATGTTTTAAGATCGATATTCGGCCATGTTGTTTTATAATCGAACTGTTGACATATAGATGGGGTCGTTCCAATGGTATTTCGGGAACATTCAAATAAGTGGGATGAGTAAATCTTATGTTTTATGTTGGGTGCACACGTACCGAATAGATGCGAAGGATAACATCTCATTCAAACTTTCGTCAGACATTATCAAAATAATGTAAAACAGCTAAAATGCTCACGTATGTTAGTCCGAAGTCGACAACGATTAGTTTCACTCAGTGAGCGACGGGCCGCGTCCGATACAATTCAATGATAAAGGTCCTCAGACGACCTCGAATCTAGTCGGTGCCGACACCAACATACATGAGTGTTTTAGTCGTTTTATTTATTAGTATATATTAAATCTTGTTCATTCGGTACATATAATTTTGGGTCACCACTACTGTAATATACAAAAACATATATCAGTTGAGTATAGATGACAAAATGTTTTTATATGAGTGTATTGAGAGTGGGAACCAACAGTAACTCAGACTTTATGTTGAGGGTAAATAGTCTGGATTTTGAATTAGAAGAGAAATCCTAACGTTTTTTAAAAGTTTAACAGGCATAAAGATGTGTTATAAGATGAGAGAAATGAAATAGATACGCAAATATGATGAAATATATAGAAATGTAAAGATGGATTCAACATGTAAATGACTTCAAATCATTATTGTAATTTTAATATTCATCGCTTCTTTTTTTTTTGTTTTTTTTTTAATTAGCGTTATCGCAGCTGATGTTGGTGCTATAGATACCTGTTAATAGCTCCCATAAAAGCTAATTTTTCGAACATTGTACTCTGGAACGTGTTGCGACAAATTTAAAATTTATCCAAGAATATGTCTTTGGATTTATCACATAGTTATTTTTTAATAAAAATTATGTAGATAGATAAGAATTAGTATGTATAGATGTAGACTTAAAGTCGAGTTACTATCATTGGTATTTTGGATGTTGGACATCGATGTTGTAAGGCCTGTTCACACTATAGGGTAAGCTAAGCACAATGCAAACGAATCGTGTTCCGAAAATTTTTAGTAGCTCGTGTGAGCTTGCCCTTATAATTTTAGTGACGTTTGCCAAATATTTGAAAACATGTAGCGTGTGAAATCTTTTAAAAGGATAAGGAATTCGCATCTATTTTATATTTATTTATGTTTATTACAATTATCCAAATTTAATTCCAATGATTTTTTATATTTTACTAATTAATTCTATGTAAATTGTTTTAATTTTTTTATTATTATTTTTTGTATTGGAATTGTCAGCATAAAGGTCGAATGTGGCGCATCTCAAGGTCTTTAAATTAAGAATAGTAAATATATCTCCTGGTTGTTGAAACGTAATTAGTTAGTAGTTGTAAATTTATAAAATGCAAATTTGTGGTCAATTAGGCTCGGATATATTTAATCTGTCAAGCCTATAGTTATTTTAGGACGTTTAGCTCGAAATACGCTACAATTTGAAATAAACAATATTTACGTTGGCAACCAATCAGTAAAAATATCTTTGTACATTAAAAATTTGATGTCGATTTAAAATTTAAACATTAAAATAAAATTCTGTCATTTTTCAATTGCATATTTTGAAAGATATACAATGTAAACCTGTTTATAATATCAGAAGAAAAACGTTTGATGAGCACAAAACGTTCTATCGAGGGAACAAAAATGGTGCGCAAAGACCTCGTTTAGGTCGGAGCGGTTTACAATTGTTGCAATTTTATTCTACCCACGCGGTGCAATATGCCGCGTATTAAAGCCATTTAATAGAGCAAATTTAGTTAAGTCGTAGGTTTAAACGTGTTTAAGACGTCAGAGATTTCATGTTAAATGTCCATAGATTCTAATAGATTAGGGTTAATTCTGCTTGCAAGGAAACTAAACCTTTGCGCAGTGTGATACTTTAATAAAATTTGATTATGATGGGCATTTCTTTTTTTAACTGTTGACGTTTGGGATTGTGTTTAGTTCATAAATGTTATATTTTGTATAAGCCAACATTTGAATAGCAAACGCGTTAACTCCTAGATGATGTAATTAAATTATTTTTTAGTTCGTTCATTTTTTTATGTTTCAACCATCTCGTTGCATAAATATCATTGGATAATCATTCGTTTGTCATCACTCAATCATTAGATAAATTTTTTCGACAAATTGTGAAATACCGTAAGCTAGGACAAAATATGTGTTTAATGTAAATATATAGATGAAACTTGTATGTAGAAGTACATAAATATTATTTATGTATTAAATTTGATATTGTTTTCAAAATTTTAATTCTTGTTGTTTTATTTTACCTCTTACACTACTTTGAAAAAAAAGCAATTTCAAATCAAACAAACCTAGTTCCAAAATTATTAAATCTTTTTGTGTTACAAAAGTTGTATAAATTCTTCAAAAATTTTGAGTGGCGTTTGAACTGCCTCCTATTATTGCCGACATTCAGAATCGCCCCATTTTTAACCAACAAAACCAATATTATTTTATAGTAAAACTTTAAGAATAATTTAACACAACTATGCTATAAAGAATTTTATTACTATTATATAAAGTTTTTTATCGTCAACCGAACTGTTTCTTATTGGATAGCTTTTTTTGTGATATTATGAACATCATTAACAAACTGTGACCATTCAAAGTACGTTTTCTTACGGTAGCAATAACAAAACATAGGACCCTATATAGGTACTTGAAAAGTTTGGAGTTGTTAAAAAAGTATGCAAAAAAACAAAATTGGATAAGTTTTATTACATATATTTTACAGGCACTTTAAAAATTAGCGCCCATTATATTCAAATTGAAACTTAATACTTATTTTAAATTTACTGCCATCTAATGTTAATAATGTAAATCAGATCAAACGTTTATAAGATCTGATAAACAAAGGTTCAGTGTACAGCCGCAAGGTGGCGCTGTCGCTAGTGCAGCGTTGGTGCCAATTTCTTTTAATTTAAATGTAAGGAACTAAGAAATGGCCATTTTTAACTAAAAAAAGTGTCATATTTTATAAATACATTTTTCTATACGTTTCCTAGCAACCACGTCAACTTGATATTCACGAATGAATGTAAAGAGATGCGGTCGAAAATTTTATCATTTCAAAGACAATTTATTGGTGTGTTTAGTAAAAGAAAGTATTGTAACAGTGTAGGTAAGTACAATTTAGATTGCTTTATTTTTATGGGATTTCAAATAATTATTGGAGTAACTAATAATTCAACAATTATTTTTGTTATTTCACTTGTAGATATGCGCCGTGACGCTCACATGAACGAATTGCCTGTGCCCTGTATCCCGTGGGAGCCCTGGTACACGGAGAAGCAGAGATGGTATACTAGATTTCTAGCACTCTCTATAGCTTGGTAAGTACACTTCACCTTTTCCTTACGTATTATAGGTAAATTTCAAAAGGTTAAAACTGTCAGACATGTGCTATGTATTAAAGTGCTTTCATAGAATAAAAAAATAGATTTTTACAATTTTAGCGATTACCACAGATTATAATCTCCAGAACAGATTTGAAAAAAGTAAACGCTTTCACTGTGACGAATAAGAACTGTTACATTCAAAATGTCGGTTATTTAAATACATCTTTTTACATTTTACAGGTGGCTATTTTCGTTTGGCATGGCGATATACACGGATAGTATTTACCTGAACTGGGGTCCGCCGGGTCAGCCGGGCCCGCCCAGTGACATGGTGGAGGAGTGCGTTGAGGCAGACTAATTATTGGAATAAAACTTAGTCTCTTATGTTTTTTTTATTTAATTACCAAATCTATATTTAAAACCAAATTTGTGTATTTTTGCGAGAATGAAAGGTGTTCGTCGATATGTGGTCCATTCAATCTTTAAGGCTTGACAGATTTTGAAATAAGGTATTTCCAATCGTATTCTCTTAACATTAGTTTTGTACTACGATGTAAAAGTGGCTTATAGTTTTTTTTTTAATAAATATGGATCAAATACTAGCTTACGACTTAAAATTAAAAGAAAAACAAGTGTTTGGTCTATCTTTTATTTGTGGAACGCAAAGAAATGTACACTGTTAGGTACATTAGTGAATTACTTATACCTTTATATTTAACATTAACTGTTCATAGAACTTTGCAATCTGAGAAGAAATCTATTGGTCAACAATACTACCTTACATACTAAATAGCTTTTCCAATCCATATCTGAGATAGAGCTTTTATCACTAGGCTCGTATTAACTAAAAAGAAAACTAAAATCATTAGTAAACACGAAATATTAAGCAAAAAGAGAAAAATTTTCAAATCTATACCAACGTTTATACCAAAATTATGTTTTTGAAGAATTCAAATGTGAAATAATTATTCTATGAATTCTCAATTAATACTTTACCTCAAAAATTCAATACCTAAACCCAAAATAATACAGACTATAAATCAACGATTCAATTTTATGTCAATTAGCTAATATATTTTATTTAACCTTAGTTTTAAATACAATTAAAATTGTGAAGTATAGATAAACCTGGATAAGCCAAAATTCAAAGGAACCACAATATTTTTCTACACTTATCTAGGTTTGACTGTATTCCACAAATTAATCACAAATTTAAAACAACTGTGTATTATGCCATATATAGTGACGAAAGATATAACAAATGTAAGTAAATATTAACTTTGTATAGATTTGAAAATTCGTATTAATCTAAAATAACCATCGTCCTAGATGCGATACAATGCGACGACTTTAAACTCTTGCATTTTCTCCTACAAATGTTTTTATCACATACAAAATGAACACCTAAATATTGTAAACCTACAAACATCGACTTCAATACATGTCCCTGCCAGCTATTTTACATTTTTAAAAGACAATGAAAAGCAAATCTTAGTAATATAGAATTTTTTTTCTAGAATTGTTTTATAACTTGCTATTGCCCGCGATTCCGTCCGCGAAATTAAAAACATACGAAATAAGTAAGCCTATGTGTTCTTCCAGACTATCTTCTACATCTATGTCAAACTTCAGCGAGATCCATGCTGCCGTTTCAGAGATACTTTCAAACAAACATACGTACATCTATCTAAACTTTCGTATTAATAATATTAGTAAGATACAAGACCGTAAGAGTGAGTTTGTGATGTTATTTGTAACATATGTTTACAATATTTTGGTTTTCATTTGGAACAATAAACTCTGTCCAACCATTTAACTTTCGACATATCAGTGAAATTAAGTCTACCCGTGGGTTTCTGAGAAAAAAAATCTCCATTTAAAGCATATTGTTATCGCTGTTTTGTCAAAGATAATGACAGGGATGCCTCTATGTTTTATACAAAGACTTTGGTCTCAGAAACCGACGGTATATGTATAATAGATATTTGCGAAATAATTAACAGATTTGACTGATCAAATTGCGTCACACATCTACATTCGTCATCTAGGACGTTTGGTTAACCTTAATTTACTAACAATATTCGTAAGTTATCTGCTCTCCGGCTTCGGTTTCGGTGGCTTGAAACCCATGATCTTCTTTTTCTTCTTTTCCTTGCCACCAGATTGGAAGGTCTTCCAACTATCCACACGGGTTTGTCGAGATTCCTAAACAAATGTGTATAACATATAAATTTAGATTTAGAAGTAAAAAAAATTATATCCTATCAGCACTAATAGACTGCTGTAAAGTACTTTAAAAACGTTAGAATGTATTCCATAAATCATTTAAAGTTCTTAATGTGTCAATCACCTTGAGTTTCTGAGACTAAAATGTCAGTTTAGAACATATTGCTATCTCTTTTTTGTGACAGAAAATGAAAGGGATTACAATATGTTGATTTTGGTCTCAGAAATTCAAGATCACAGTATTAACTATAAATTTCTGATCATGTATACATATAAATCGAAAATAAAATTTGTACACGGCGGGATTCGAACCTAAAACCTGCAGATTGCAGGCGAATCCTTTACTCATGAGCCACCGACGCACTGTAACAATTAGCTATTAGTTATTTAACAAGCACTAACCTCAAAGTTCTTAGCCCACTCTTTTTCGAATGACATTTGTTCTTCTTGTTCTATTTCTGCTTCCCGCTTGCGTTTCCTCTCTTCCATGTCCCTTGTTTCCAAATGCTGACGCTTACGTTCCATGTCTGCAAACAGCTGGAACAGTAAAACATCTTTGTTTCTTTATGTGTAAAACGTAAAACTGATTTTATTTTACTTACATTTACCAATTAACATTTATTACAATGTAACAAAAATGAACCAAATTTTTATGGAAAAAAGTTTCAATTTTAAGCCCGAGGGCTCATATTTGGAGTAACAACATTCTGTGGCTTAAAGGAAAGGGAGCAAGAGGTTTTTAACTTGAAGTTTATTGTAAAAAAAAATTACTGTAGGATAATATTATATTTAATAAAATCTAATATTATAATTGCAAATGTTTGGATGTATGGATGGATTTTCAATGCATCTCCAGAACAGCTGCATGGATGTGGCTGAAATTTGACACATATGTAGAACTACAATATAGTCTGGAAGAACATAGACTAATTAAGTTTTTTTTAATTCCGGTTGGATGTTGTCACAGGCGAAAGCTATATACATAAATAAGATAACAAACCTTCATTGTCATGACATAAACTGCATGTTTGTATTTCACTGGATCATCTTCTGGTATACCTTCTCCTAACCGACCATCTTTTCTGAATTTCTTTCGTTTTTGTTCAATCTAAAAAAAATATTATTTATTAAGCAACATTCAGTATCTAAAGAAACATTTTTTAGCATTACCAATTAAATTCTAATTTGCAAATAACAAATTAGGATTATCTCTATTAATATATTTATGTAAATTTAAATTCATCACTTGACACTATATAAGTTTCGTCACTAATTAAGACCCTTGTATTATATTTATGTTATTCTTCGTCTATGAAATCATTCTAGTTCCACTCATCCTAAAGAAGGGCCTCCGATGGGCTGGAAACTAGTTGCTACCAACACCAAACTAACATACAAGTGTGTTTTTGCCATTTACATATTATGTTACTATGTCTCGCGAAAGTTGGAATAATTGAATAAAAACTTGAGAAATAAAAAAATGATCAAATTAATTAAAATTATCATACCATATGATCCGTTCTTTCTTTAGCTTCCTGATATACATCCAAGCATTTCTTTCTTGTATCTTCATTTTCCAATATCTTCCAGGATCTATTAACAATTTCAAATGCTTGTTGTGCCCTTTCCGAATCATCCTGTAAATAAAAATTAACATATTGATAGATTTTTCATTTATATATCTGTTAATAACGTCTAAATCCTAATCATACAATTCTAAACCCTATGGTAATTCTTTCTATTAAATGTTAAAAGGATGTGTCATTGTAATATTTTTAAAATATAGACATATAATTTATATGACGATTCTACACTTTAGTAACCTTCAAAAGAAACATTGTATTAAAATTTTAAGTTAAAGTACAAATTATAGAAATTATTTAGTAAGAACGAGGTTTTGTGCCCGTTATGTAGGTAGCGTTTTTGGTTTTCTGCATTATCATCTCCATTCATCCATGCCTTTTTTTCTTTGTACCTTACCTATGGCAGTGTAGACAGGGCCTCTGTGGTATGCTTACGTTCCATCTGTGGATAAAAATGAAATATTGACGGGGATAACCGTCTCAACTACATGTCTAGGAAATCATAGCTAATAGAAATGTTTTCTTGTTAAAAAGTGTACTGGAAAATGGCAGAATATACAATATGTTTTGTGTGACTTTTAAGACAGTAAAATATAAATGCAAATTAATAACGCATTTTAAATGTGACATGTGCAGATAAATAAACAAGAAGAGAAAGTCCAAATCATGATTTGTACTTAATATGATAATTCACCTACAAGGTTCATAATTTTAATCCCAACATGCCAAATGTATTTGATAGGTACAAATGACACAGAAAAGCAAATAATTTATGTATAAAGTTTGAATATTGTACTCACAATATTCTTGTCAGGATGAACAAGAATGGAGAGACGTCTGTACTTCTTTTTTATTTCTTCGATTGTAGCGTCACATTCAACTTGGAGAACTTCAAATGGGTTCAGATTGAAGTATGTAGATCCAGGACGGAGTAGTCTTTCGATTTGTTGCTTTGGAGTAAGAACAGAATCTCTCTTCTCTATTTCTTTAACCTAAAAAGACAACTTATACAAAACTTCGGAAATAAAACAAGCCGCTAAATATCATTACTTAATAATTGAACTATATTTAGATGTCATTAAAAATCATGTAAATATTTCATTAAAAATTTAAAACTTCAGATAAACTAGGTTATTTCACCTCTGTGTAGAAATCGTCGAACGATTCTGCCTTTGCTGTAGATGGTATGGAAGACATTTTCAACAACCTTTTGTGACTCCCAAATCTGATTATTGTGGTTACATTTAAAAAGTCAAAGTTCCTTATTTTGTGACGATTAAACTCGTTGAACAAAAAAATGATGCTTCGTAAACTTTTGACAATAAAGCAATGACCATAGACCAATTAACATTTTTTTTGTTGCACAGATTACTTAGATTAAATTTATGAATATCTTACGCTCATTAAAAATTATTGGATCATGAAATTAAAAGTAATTATAGCTGTAATTTGGGTTAAAGTTTAAATATAGGCTTAAGTTTGTTTTTTGATTTTATGAGTTTTCTAAAAACCTATACTACTTTATAACCTATGCCCTACTTTATAACTCTATAACCTAAACCCATTTCAACCTTAAGTCAAATCCTAGCTTAATCACCACGAAGTTACCGGTTGTTGTGATAAAATAAAATATTTTTAAGGTTTGTCTTTGATTTTTGAACAGTTATATTTTTTTAATTACTGCCGCCGCAGCTTTGTTTTTATTTACATATTACATTTAACTTTGACTATTAATGGTAATATCTAACACTTCTCTCTGTGAGGTTTCACTGCAAAAGCACCACTGCAAAAACATACTTTATGTTATCTCTGTGTCTTCAAAGAGAGTGAGTGTGATGAAAGTATGTTTTTCTATAAGTATTTTAGCAGCTTAAAATCTAGGTAAGCAACTGTGTTTGATCCTTGATGCGAATTTTATTATGCAATAATATAGACATTGCAGTGGAATCGAGCAGAATATTTCGTACATGGAGATAAGTACTATATTAACGACTAACATAAACATTCGGAAACTTTAGTCAAGGTCAAATAGCTCGGAACGGTTGAATTCACGACGCTGTATTTTAACTAACTAGTTTTAAAGAGTTTTTAGTCGAGATATCTGGCATTGATATATAATGGCATCATTCTTTCGCTTTATCCTGAATTACCAGTCACCCGTGACAACGTCCGCGGAATTAAAAAACCAACTTAATAAGACGCCTATGAGTTCTTCCAGACTATTTTTTACATCTATGCCAAATTTCAGCAAGATCCATGCAGCCGTTCCGGAGATATCTTCAAACAAACAACCATCCATCCACCCATCTAAACATTCGCATTTATATTAGTAAGAAGTAAGATATAATTAGTAGTTATTATCTTAATTATTAAATTCGCAGATAAAATGTTTACGGACAAAATCGTATTAATAACTGGAGCTAGTTCTGGAATTGGTGCAGAAACAGCCGTAGAGTTCGCAAAACTTAACGCTAAGCTGGTTCTTACTGGAAGAAACAAAGAAAATCTAGGAAAAGTTGCGAAACAATGTGAAGAGGGTTCTAAAAGTAAACAAACACCTTTGGTGATAATCGCTGATATGAACGTGGATACCGACGTGGATAATATAATGAAAAGTACAATAGAGAATTTTGGAAGACTAGACGTTCTTGTAAATAATGCTGGTATTCTAGAAAGTGGAACGATAGAAACTACCAGTTTGGCGCAGTACGATAGAGTGATGAACACAAATGTTAGGGGACCATATTATTTGACCATGTTAGCTGTTCCCCATCTGATTAAAACTAAAGGGTCAATCGTGAACGTATCCAGTGTGACTGGTCTGAGATCTTTTCCAAATGTTTTAGCGTATTGCATGTCGAAGTCTGCTCTGGATCAATTTACAAGATGTACCGCGCTTGAGTTAGGTCTTAAAGGTGTTAGAGTTAACGCTGTAAATCCTGGCGTAATTACAACTGGTATTCATATGAAATCAAGCATGAACGAGGAGCAATACAAGGAGTTCTTGAAAACGTGTGCCGGCACCCATGCTTTGGGTCGAGCAGGTGACAGCAAGGAAGTGGCTTCTGTTATAATATTCTTAGCCAGTGATGCAGCCAGTAACATCACAGGTGCTACAATACCAGTGGACGGTGGTCGTCATGCTATGTGTCCACGTTAAATACACAATATTGTTATATACTATAAAAATAAAATTATTATGAATGTTATTAACGAGTTTTAATTGACATATTTTGTTTCTTATTTATATTTTGCGAGTAAATAATGTGCAAATATTAATCGTTGGTTTCTGAGAACTGAATCCCTGGTTAAAACATATTATCATCCCTGTTTTGTCAAAGATAATGAGAGGGAAAAAGTTATTTTTCATACAAGGATTATGGTCTTAGAAGCCAACGATAAGTAAAATGTAATCATCAGTTGAATGATGCGTCAGATACACATTTTATGATCTGTATAGTTGTATTCGTGATAGCAGCGGAAGCTTCTATAAGACCGTTGCTCGTACAAGAAACAATTGTGTTTAAAATATCGTCTGCAATTGCTCTGGTTTCATCTCTCTGGAAAAAAAAATGTTTTTTAGTATCATAAGTAACTATATTCTAATAAATTACATTAATATTACTTACATATTTTAGTATGCCTTTTTCCTCGTTCTCTAAATCATTATATACTTTTTTCCTCACATCGTTAAAACATTCATCAATATCTTCGTTATTGAGACAAGCTTGTAATTCCTTATCTATATTAGCAATAAATTCATCCTTGTCAATCAATAGTTGATTGCCTGTTTCTTCTAGCATAGGTAGATAGTAAGTACTTTGTGATATGCAAGTCGTTACGTTTACTAATATATCCTTTAGGATTTTTTCTATTGCTTTCTGCTGTCTCTACAAGTGTAAGGATAGTATGTGAGATAAAGTCATTATCATAACCCTGTCGTTATTCTACTCTATGCGGGGTTGGAACACCAAAATTCGTCGTCCCAATCTACCAATTGTCACCGTTCAAGCTATTCATCCATTTCCTACTGGATGTACACCTCCACAATTATTTAATCAAATAATAAAGTCAAGTTAAAACAAATAATATTGCTTATATAAAATATTAAAAGTCTATCGTAATATTTTGTGATCCATTTTTTGTAAATTTATGGCATGCAGTTGTGTAAAAATTTAAATACTCACTTTGATGCATTGTTTAACTAGGATACCTGAAACTTTAATACTGGCAATTAGATTGTTCATTTCTTTTTTCATGTTCTGTAGACGACTTCTGAACATTGAATTTATTTCATTTGCTTTTGTTTTTACGTTTTGTACCCATATATTTATCCTTTCTGCAGTATGTTTAGCGATGTTCTTCACGGATTCCCATGCATTGATTGCACTTTGCTTTACGCTATTCCATAAATCTGCGACGCTTCGTCGATACTCTGAAGTCCGTTGTACAGTTGACATCTTATTTACATTATGTTCGTTAGACAGGACACTGTACACGTCCTGTAAATTTTAATAATAAATATATTAATACTTATTCCAAATTCCACGTTTACAACAAAAATGTATTAGCAAATTAAATCATACAATATAGGACCCTACCTGAGAACACAAAGTAAGTAGGAACAAAAGTAGTACAAAACGCATGATCAAAGAAAATATGTAATTCGACAACAAAATTAACAATAAAAGACAATAATGTCGAATAACGCAAACCTTTTATATCTTCTTTATTAAGAGCCACTAGAAATAATATTGTGTTTATTGATTTAGATCGATTTAAAATCTTTGTTACCAGTTTCTGAAGTGTTTGTCAAATCGGTCAATATTTCAGTACTAGAGAGAATTCGGATGACTAGTGTCCTACCTGGCTTCTCTCGGATGCCAAATTATATACTTTGCCTTTTTTGTATCATACCATGCAATGGTCAATAATTTAACTAAAAAAAAATCTATAATATTTTATCGGTTCTACAATCCTTCCTTTCCTTTTAATAACTGTAATTTAGTAAAAAGTTTAGACCTGAAAAATATTTTCAACTACAGAGAATCTCATATGTTATGATGTAATACGCTAATACACCAAATTCGTTTAATATTAGGTTAAAAAAATAACAAAAGAACATCTTGAAAATTGGTAATTTAATTAAACAATAAAAAACTTAAGCATGGTTCTTGTTAAAAACATTATCAAAAAGGTATAAAATGTGTAGTATAAAGCGATGAAATTTCATGACGTTAACCAAAAGATTCGATTACAGATTTCACCGAGCATCTTCCAATGTCAATTATTATTTTTGCAGTGCCGATAGTTGCTCTTATCATATTAAAACCAGCGCACATTTCGAATGCAGCCGGCAATGTCCCGATAGCCAAGTTGATACGTGCGATCTGTAAAATCATTATAGAAAAATTATTCTTTGATATCTTTTACGTTCAACAAGGAGTGCTGAATGCAATATTTACCGAGATTCCACTATTCGTAGTGAATATTGCTCCAGTAGTCTGAGCCTCATTTGTTAGAGGACTTAAACATTTGCCCACATTTAAAAGAGACCCATCATCATCTATGGAGCAATTTCTCATGCTTTCCAATACTTCTTTAGAATAATTCAGTGCTGAATTCGACTCTGTGATAAGATCGTCTATCATATCGTTCACTTCTTTTATACGATCATCAGCACAACTTCTGGACCTAGTATATGTTTGATCAATGAGATTATCAGCTTCTTCACGATGAGACTGTAATAAAACCAAATGGTTAATTAAAAGAAAAACTTTGAATTTAAACAAAAGAGAATCTATTTAACAGATTTTTTTGGATTAAGCCCTATCTATTTCTCGAGTAGTATCTATCCTAAGTGTTACGTTAAGATCGCATTTATTTTTAATCGACTTCAAGAAGGTGGAGGTTCGCAATTAATCTGAATTTTTTTTACTACGTTTATTTCAGTTTATAATAGAAGGGGGTAAACGAGCAGCGGTAACACCGAGGTGTTCAACGACGCCCATGGACACCAGCAATACCAGAGGAACCACAGATGCGTTGCCGGCCTTTGTGCCTTTCTGTACTTGTTCTTGTTTGATTTGTACTTTTTACTTACATCTATGCAGGTTGATATTCCCTCTCCAACCTCAAATAATTTATCGGTTACTTTTTTAACGGCCTTTGTAATTCGTCTCCTTAATCTCTGTCTGTCTGCATGAATTTTCTCTATGTACTGTTGTACTTCATCTTTGATGCCAGCAGTGAAGTTTTTTACTGCTTCAATTGCTTGGTGTGCAGAATCACTTAGTTTCCTTGCAAGTTCTTTTATCAACTCTCTGGAATTTTATAAAACTTATTATAGGACAATACAAAAAAATCTATCTGAATGATGTCTTTATTGGTACCTCATATTTGAATCGCGTTTTTGGCGTAAAATCAATGATTTTTCATCACCAGAAACACTTCTCAACATCGAACACAGCTGTAAAATTTTATTGTTTTATTTTTGATTAGCAAATAATACTTATTATTTAATTGCTCCTATAACTTATGAATTCACTTTAACTAAAAACGAACTAGGTACAATAAGAACATAGCACAAGGCCTTCTTAATTAATTCCTATAGATTTTATATCTCTTACCACGACAGAAAAACAAAATAAGACTACGACGAACTTCATTTTTTCTAACTAAAATGTGTTTGTACATACATCTGTGAGTGAACTTATATTCAGTTTTAGTTTTATGGCATATTCTAGACATATATTGTTACCGTAATAAACAGATGCCTGTTAAGTAAATAAATTCCTGTGATAAGATATTACAACGTGAAATCGTTGCAGTAAACATTGACAAATTCGAGATAAGAAATACATAAATTCTCTTTTATCAATAAAAATATTGAGTACAAATATTTTGAACTTCAAGTATTGTGACCTCAAATAACGCGTAAAAATGCGCTTCGACCTATTTTGTTCTAGATAACTAAATATTATCGTCTTTATATGGCAAGAAACATAAATTACATAATAAAACACATTATGACTTTAGCTTAGATGGCAGCATAAAAGCACTAGTTATTTACAACAATTTATTTTAATAGTCAAAATACAATTATCAAAATTATTTTCGATCAGTACACAAAGGTTATCTGAATAAATAAACTGACTTTATAGACGTGAAGCAATCTCAAAACAAATTCATAATTGCTTTAAACAGCTCAAGGCTTCTTAATTATGAATATCGTGTCTCCCATAAAAGTAATTCACTATTTGAAATGTAAATATTGCGACAGACAATTCGCTCTGATGATTTTTTATAGACTCGATGTTTGAAACTGACCGTAGGTTTTCTGTGCTAAAACATTGCCATGATTTTTATCTTGACACATATTGTTTTCTTTATTATTTTTGAAAAGAGTGATTAGGATGATATGTATATATTAAATGTTTTTTAGTACTCGATAAATTTAGTATTTCTATTAACAATAAGAACCTGAATGATATATTTTTTTCAAATTGTGTTTTTTGGAAATTATATTTAAGTACGAATTACTAATAAAATGATGAAATATGAATAATATTTTTCGATCTTACCGATAGAAAAAGTTAAGTTTATGTTTAAGTTGATTATCGATAAAACACGAATAAAATGACATTTTCTAAAAATGATTCCTAGCTAGATCGATTTATCGCCCAGAAATCTGATATATTAAATTTTATAAAAAAAGGTTGAAGCCGATTCTGAGATTCCAAATATATATTTATACAAGAATTGCTCATTTAAAGATATAAGATTAGGTTTATGTATTTTATTATATAATTAATATTAATTTACGTTGTATTTAAATTAATTTATACCAGAAAAATTATAATACCTTGCATATATTAGAGTAGCAAACAAATGAAGTTCATCCTTTGTAAATACATTTATTTGTTTGTAGCGTGTTAATAAGTTCTGTAACACACAATTGCTTTTATATAGACATCAAAGTAATACGTTGATTCATATAAAATAAAGGTATTAAAGTATGCCGGATGTTGGTCAAGTACAACAAATAAGTAGAATATGTAATTCTATCGCAATATTGTTAGACAAAGTTAATTCTAAATAATATCCAATTACTACGTAGCGCCTACAAGAAATATTATAGAAAGCACAAACAGAACGAAGTCATTTTAAAACTTTGTTAATTCAAACAGGCGTTTTGGAACTAATTTTCTTTGAAATCAATTTTTTTCATCATTCACTTAATGTTTACATATTGATACTGAGTTCCTTATTGTAGCTTTAACGCCTTAGTGTCCAGCATTTGCCGCATTTCGTTTGAGCCGTTGCTTTTTTTTACCATTCGACCGGTTCGCAAAACTAAATCATCGTCGCCCGTCGTTATCAGCAACACCAGAGAAACTGCAGTTGCATTACTGGCCTGTAAGAAAAAGAAACGCTCATTTCTTGAAGGAGCCTAAGTCGTACTCGCTTCGTCGTCACTTTGTGCATATTATGCAATTTGAAGTTGCTTGCTGATGGATGGGCGGACAATTCTAATGAACAGAGGTTTATGTTACGTTCACGGATATGACTCGCCAATAATATCGATAATAAAGGCCTTTTTACACTAGTTTATTACATGTTGTTTTTTATATATGAATAACAAAATTATCACGTACTATTAACATCCTAAAACTCAAGAATGTAATTTTTTTTTAACTATACAATTAACTGTTATGGAAGAAACGACAACGTATAATGTAAGGAATATCAAAAACAGTAGGGTTTCACTGCAGCAACACGTGTTTCAACTCAGGAAACCTACTTCAAAACTATACATTCCAGTCAAAATGTCGCTCATTATTGACATATTCATATGCTACACACAGCGGCATAGCTATCTTTATCTGGTGATCTTTATTACCAAGTATTTTAATTGTAATGCTATGACAAGTATGCAACCTCCATTAAGGATGTATCACTACAAATGCGAGGCGTTTGATTTCCTCACTCCGTAACCTACGAGTACGAGGGCTAACATAACCCAACAACGTAACATAACGTAATGCAACGTAATATCAAAGTACAAGTGTCGGAAGCATATTTAAATTCATTATCTATGCCATAGAAATATGCTTGCCGTGCATAACCATTGGTTGGTTGCTAAACGAGGAACGACAACCACAGCTTAAAGAAAAAAATGTTTTATAACGGTTGGTTCCTAAACGCTTTCGTCTCCTTTAAAGATCCCCCTTCTTGACATCGATAAAAAAGTAAATTTATTGCAGTTTTGTATCGTTGAAAGGTATGTTTATTACTAAAACTTGAGCAGTTCCATAATTCCTGAGAGCTTAGGTTGTAAATACCTCGAATAGCTTATTAACTGCTGTGTTCAATTCACCGACTAAACTCATAAACATTCTCCGCTGCCCGATGGTAAAGTTTCACCATGACTTGACTAGGAATAGATGATCCCTCATTTGAATACGTGTAGTTTAAATTCCGATACACGCCTTGAAAAGTTATACGATGTACATAAGGGACAAAAAATAAGTTTCTGTAAGATCAACACTATCCTGGGTTACTCGTCTACGGACGAGGCCAGGATGGTGTTAAGTTGGCCGACATTTGTTTAAAAAGTAATTTAGATAATTAGATGTATAATTAATTAGAAGACTTATGGAAAGGTATGATGGCTTTGCGACAAAGCCTATTAAGTAAATAAAAAAAGTTTTGGTTTCAATAATAAGATACAGGTCAAAAGACTACAAATTAAATACAAAATTAAAAATCTAGCGGCGATGAGTCATCAACCAAAGTATAATATTATAAATAATTGGGGTTAATATTGTTAAATATTTATGTTATATCAATATCGAACAGTTATATGTTTAAAGAATGTTCTAGTCTGGCATTAGAAAGGCGGGTTGCTCGCCTAGACACAGCTCGTAAATCTACACATAGACACCTGCGCAGGAGTTTATTAAAAAAAAACTGGAACGCTAACGGCGCCAGAAATTTTCGAATAATTGACAGCGACTTTATCTATATGTGAATGGTTTTGCCTTTAAATTAAGCAGATACATTTATAAGCAAAACGAAATGTGATAATTTAATGGTTTGTTTGGTAACCAAAATTTCATTTAACCAATAAAGGAATGTAAGAAGTAGATAACTAACGGGAAGATTTCAATGTTGACAAGCAGCGTTTAGTTATGCTAGGATAATGAGATGATACCATTTTTACTCAGGTGTAATTTAAATCCCCGGGGCGCAGAGTATGCATAAAGCATTCCCCTCTGGTAATAAGGTGTTATTTAAGTAATAAAGTTTATTTAGATAAAAATATAGGTCATTATCACGAGCCTAGTGTTCTACGAGACTATATTAAGGCAGCGAACCGTAGATCTGGCACAAAACCGACGGAATACATCTATTAGATTGCATAACACGTAACAGTTACCACACTGTGCTCAAGGTGCTTCGAAGGAGAACACAAAGGTCAATGTTCGCAGCTTCCTCCGACGCTCCGGCTCATTTCGTTAAGTATGCCTTTATTTAGACTGACACTAGGGTCATCATTTTAGCACTTCAACCTCTCAACTGTAATAAAGAGAACTTAGTTGGATCCAGCAAGGGTGAATGGATTGATGGATTACGTGAAAGGTGATAAGATAAGAAAGAAATGTCGATTAAAACTATAATTGTTTCTTCGGAAACTGTTGTGCCGACTCTACATACAGTGGTAGACAAGTCAAGTGTAGTTGATTACAGTACAACAAATATTAATATAAGAAAAAAGAGAAAGATTTGATTGTTTGTTTGCATGGAATAGGACGATTTATTTGCATACACAGTAAAATTTTGACATTTGACTGGATTATAGGACTGATGATTGTTTGTTAGTTTTAGTGTTAGTATATTTGGAAATTAATACATTATTCCTTAACTATCGGTAATATTCAAACTTAGAGTAATAAATGTTCTGATTATTCACATTCCTGTCACGCTTGAAAAGATTTGCAAAAACGTCAATTGAGAAAGATGGTACATAAAACTCAGCTAAAGTGCTTTACCTGATTATTTCGACATTCACCTAAAAGCGTATTCGTATTAACAAAAACGTTAATGCTTTTGTCGAATATATTTTCTTGGGTTTCCACAGCTGTAAATAATATGACGTCATCTCATTTTTCAAGGCACGGGAAGGCGGTGGATTCTTCTGTCGTTTTAGGTCAGTCTTGACATACACGGTCAAGTTGACCGCAGTTAACAAGCATTCAGTATATTAATTACTCATACACATAGATGATATAGCAAAAACTTAATTAGGGAAAACCGACATATTGCCGTCATAGGTAAACCAAAACACATTATTTGACTTGCATCTCCGTCTCTAAATTTTATACAAACGAATAAAAAAATGTTGCTATATAAAACATTCATGTATAATCTGGGAATTCAATTTAAGGAGGTTACAGAAATTTTCTTAAACTCAAAAGATATAGATATTCTACGTAATTTAAATAAAAAATTAAAACAATAATCGATTATTTCGGCAATGAAGCAACACTTGTCCTACCATTAATAGCTCTTTGAGTGGATCATTTAACAAGGATGGCCGTTCATTTCGCGCATCCTTTAGCAGTTTGACGATAAAGGGGGTTGGGAGGTCAATCGAGTGCAGGCCGCGAATTATCTAGTCACATGACAAACTCTCACATGACTGGGGCCGGCGGGGGACGGGAGAGATCACGTTATTCGTTGTTTGCTTTATTTACGTGACGTGATGTAACGGATGATGTGAAGGTTAACGCATACAGCGATGCTTGTAGTAAAAGCATATTGAAGCAGACATCGTTTTACCAGGATTAACTTATGTAATATATATTCGAAAATTAACTTATTTTATTGTACACAGTGAGATTTAAATGAAACATTGAGAGTTTTTTACCTACGTCCTTGTGACAGTATTACGATAGAAAAACATATTTAAACATTACATATTTACTTTTAATCCTACGTGTAGTTAATGAACTGTACAAAAAAATATTCCCAGTCGTTGATTTTACTTATTTTATACATTTTTACGTAAAAGCAATAATTTAAGCACGGAAAATACAAATCCGTACAAACATAGCTTTCTATTGACTTAAAGTTTACGCATACAAG